GTCGTCTTTGTCCTCGACTCTCGTGTGGATCAGAGTAAAAACTGAGATTAAAGAAATTCAGTCTGCAGGATTTAAGACGAAGGAGAAAAGTGAGTTTATCGACTGGACGTGAAGAAGAAGAAGAAGAAGAAGAAGAAGAAGTCTGGACGAAGCTGAGAAACGTAATTGACCAAACAAATTTTTGTCCAGTCGACAAACTCGTTTTTCTCCTTTGTCCTGGATTCTACTGAACCACTGATGGAGTTTACACACTGCAGGATTTAACCCAAGATAGTCCTGGTTTAGTCCTGGATTAGACCTGAAAAAAAACTGATATAGTCCCTTTTTAGACCCGGTTTAGACCTGGTTTAGACCTGGTTCAGTCCTGTTTTAGACCTGAAATAAACCTATTTTAGTCCTGGTTTAGTCCCAGTTCAGTCCCAGTTTGGTCCTGGTTTAGCTCTCGTTTAGTCCTGGTTTAGATCTATTATAGTCCTATTTTAGTCCTAGTTCAGTCCCGGTTTAGATCAAATTGATCAGAAATAGAGACACTGGGACATTTCTTGTATAAAACTGGGACAAATGAGTGGTTTTGTGTAAATCTGCAGGGACAGAGTCTCTCTGGACCCCGGTCCCTCCGGTCTCCCCGGTCTCCCCGGTCCCCCCGGTCTCCCCGGTCTCCCCGGTCCCTCCCGGTCTCCCCGGTCTCCCCGGTCTCCCCGGTCCCCCCGGTCTCCCCGGTCCCCCCGGTCTCCCCGGTCCCCCGGTCCCCCCGGTCTCCCCGGTCCCCCCGGTCTCCCCGGTCCCTCCGGTCTCAGTCCAGTTTGACTTTCTAGGACTGGAGCTTTTGTGGGTCTTAAGTTCATCTGTGGCTTTAACTAAGGCACTTATCCAACAGATCCTGAGTCTGCGCCTCTGCTTCTCTTCAGACTCACTTCAGTTTCAGCTTCAGCTTCAGTTTGAGTTGGAGTTGGAGTTGAACTGGAGGTTCCTCAGACTTGCTCCTGGGTCTCGTGTGCAGTTTGAGTGTGAAGTGTTGTGTGGCTCGGTGTTGTTTTTTAGGAGGTTTTGTTTGTTGGGGCGTGTTAAATGTTAAATGTGCGTGTCTCTGTGTCCTTGGTTTAATCCTCTGTTAATCCGACACATGGACAATGACTCTGTGTTTTACAGTGAATAAAAACACAACAAAAATCACTTTAATCACCACAATCTGCCCTTTTTCATTCATTCCACTTCACACTCCGCTCTAATAACCTTCAGAACCTCTTAAATATCTTTCATTTGAATTATTTCTGCAGGAAATTACGGCTTTTACTTTGAAATGACAGTCAAATCCAAGTGTAAAGTAGAATTTAAATTGATGATCAGATTTATTGGTGCATTTTTCATCTTTGTTCACGCGCTCCACGAGCACACGAGCGTGCAACAACTGATTTAAAAATGGCGTCACCTTTCAGTAAATTCTACACATTTCTACAAATATTTGTAAGATAGTTTTAAGCAGAATATGTCGCATTACTTGATTTCAATTACAAACGGTCTATTAGCGAATTCGGCTTGAATCAAATGTTCATATTTCATCACAGAGTGTACAATTTTGAAGATGTTTTGTGGAAACGCGCGCTCTGTGCTGATTTACTCACAGGGTCTAGTCCTCCTTAAACCAGTGTATTTCTCAGCGGAGTCCGGCGGAAGGATACGTGACAGCTCTCACAATAAGCTAGCGGCGCAGAAACGTGTTTAAAGCGCAGAGTGTCTTACCGTGTGTGGACTGACTGTGGTGCGGGTCGCTGCGGTGATCGCTGCGGTTTTGTCTGGATCATAGAGACATGGGACTTTTCTTCTTATTTCACGGTAAATACGCAGAAAAAGCGTCGTTAGCCTCAAAGCCGAAGAGCGGCCCGCTATCCGCCCGCGCATGCGCACTCCCGCTCCTCTCAGCGGTCAAACTGCGGCGGCGCCACCGGAAAAACGCCACAAAACACAGATTTTAAACCGTGAAATCTACGAAATACTCAGATATATTTGATATTTCAAGTGTCATCTGTGTATTTCTGTGTTTATATGAGTCTGAACATGTATAAATCTGTGATGCCAGAACTCGGTCTGTGTACATGATATAAACACAGACAGACTCGACTGTCAGTGTGGGGATGTAGCTCAGTGGTAGAGCGCATGCTTTGCATGTATGAGGCCCCGGGTTCAATCCCCGGCATCTCCAGGGAAACACACTTTTAGTCTGGGCGCTCGATTTAAAATAGAACAAAAATCAAAAATACAAGTTATTTTCTGCAATTAACTTGTCTTCAAATTATTGCTTCTTCAGGTGAGGTAAAAGAGATTATATATATGTATATTTTTTTTTTTAAAGAAAAATCAAAATGACGACTAACTTGTTGTACGGTTGTAGGGAGTATCATGTAACGGATAATACTCCCTACAACTGTAACTCCTCACAGCTGTGTATCGTTACTTTTGGTTTACATAAGCACACTTTGGTTTAATTTGAAATACCACTGATATTCCTTTTATTTATTTTCTAATAATAGCATCAAAGGTAGGAAACATCAGGCAAAGGAGAATGAAAAATTACAAATTGTAGGTAGGCCTGATATTAATAGTCATATTAATAACAATTGTATTAATAATAATCACATGCAGCACTTAATAAAAGTTAAAAAAATAGGCCTACAAAATAAATACATAAGAAAATTTTATTATATGAGTAACAAATCAACTTGCCAGCTCTTATGTCTGTCCCAGGTGAGCATGCGTTTTTAAAAGAGAAAATATGAAAAATATAAGTTATTTTCTACAATTCACTTGTCCTTAAATTATTAATACTCCCTACAACTGTACAACTCACCCTTATGTAACTGATAAACCTGTGTCCTGTCAATCATCTGCTGTCTTCCTGTGACCTCATAAAGCTGTGATTTTATATTTCATTACTTTTCTATTTTCTCTCTACATTTACATTTAAATAACTGAGTTTTATTTCACACGTCTCTTGCTCTTTTTTGCAACTTTAGAATTTATCACCATTTATATTTTTTCTTTATTATATTGTGAAGTGTGACTCCTGTGTCCAAATAATTCTGTTTTTGTTTGTTGCTGAAAAAAAAATAAAAATAAACTCAGCTCTAACCACAGTGTCTTTTACTCAAGCTCAGTGTCACTCAGTGTCCCTCCTCGTCGTCCTCTTCCTCCTCTGTTCACGTTCATCTCAGTCTGGATCTGATTTTAAACTTAAATAACAACAGCACAAAGATCGTTCCCATTTTCTTGTATTTATTGAAAAAGTCTGATAGAAAAACATTATGAAATTGAATGAATTTCCAGTTCATTGCTACATTATCGACACCAGCATCAAAAACAACACGAGGATTTGGATCAGAACCCAAACAGCAGAATCACAAGAAACGGTTTGGAAACAAGAGTTTGGTCCTTTGTGCCACAGCGAAACGACAGAATCATAATGAAACCTGAGACAAGAGTTAAGTGTTCTAAAGAAATGTGTGTTCTGAAAAAAAATGTAAACAGTAAACACTCGAAGCGCGGAATGTGCAGGTGGAGGTTTAAACTCAGTGATTGTGCGTTCGATGGAAAAACTAATGATTCTGGGACAGTTTGGGGACAGCGCTGAGGTCCGAGGTCCGAGCTCGTGGGACCTAAGACGAGACTTAAACCCTGGAGGACAGGACTTTCTCTGTGACCGACCTCACACCGCAGGAGTTTTATTGGTTTTATTTATTTATTGCTATTCCATAGTTTCTGCTCTTATTTTATTTACTGGTTTTATTGTTTTCAGACTAGTGTGATTAAATCTAAGTGTTTATTTTATCATTATACTGGCAAAAGGAGAAATTCAATTTGTCGACTGGGCAAAAGTTTATTTGGGTTGAATCTGTTTTCTGAACTCGTCCAAACTGTTTTCTTCACTTTAGTTCAGTGACTCTGTCTTATATCTGCCTGAAGGGGGCGCTCACTACACTCACATTACTCTCACACTAACACACACATGTACATGTGTTTACAGTTTGTTTGTTAGATCTGTTGACCTGCATGAGTGTGGATCTTATCAGCAGAGTCACTCAGGTCATACTGGAGTTTTCACACCTCTGGTCCTGACCTGACCTCCTCCTCTAGTTGTATTTGTTTTGTTTTAGGTTTGAGGACGGAGTTGTTACTCAACGGTGTCTGAGTCTGTTTCCATCTCTTAACAAAAACAGCCTCTTGAACTCCTCCCAAACAAAAATCTTTCCTCAGACTCTGAACCTCACGGGAGCAACTCCAGGATTTTATGTGCAGATGAACAACAGACTCAGGTCCAGTGTTGCTCTCTCGTCTCGTCTGTGCATCCTCCAACAAACACAAACTGTAAACGTGTGTGTGCGTGTGTGTGTGCGTGTGTGTGCGTGTGTGTGTGTGTGTGTGTGTGCGTGTGTGTCAGAGTAGTGTGTGTGTAGTGAGCGCCCCCTTCTGGCAGATATAAGACAGTGTCACCAGTGTCTGACAGAAGTGAAGAAACAGATTGGACAAGTTGAAAAATGTTTTTGACCAAATAAACTTTCGTCCAGTCGACAAATTGAATTTCTCTTTTTATCGTGGATTTTACCAAATCGACTGAGGAATTCTACATCATTATTATTATTATTACATTATTATTGTTGTTGTGCAGCATTTTGGAAACTGTTTGTGAAATGTGCCACAGGAACAAAGTGAATTGGAATGGACAGTATGAGTTTAGTGCCAGTGTGATACCAGGGTAGTATTTGTAGTACAGGTGTAGTAGTGGTGTAGTACTGGTGTAGTACAAGTGTAGTACCAGGGCAGTATTTGGAATGTCCAGATCTGGTCACAGTTTTGCAAAGTTGCTAAAATATTGTAATACTTCTGAGTAAATCAAACACTTATCAGAGAAAATGAAGTAAACAAAAAAGAATGTTGTGCAGAGTGTGTGTTGTTTTAGCCCGTGTGAGTGTGTGTGAGCCGTGTGTGTGAGCCGTGTGTGAGCCGTGTGTGTGTGTGTGAGCCGTGTGTGTGAGCCGTGTGTGTGAGCCGTGTGTGTGAGCCGTGTGTGTGAGCCGTGTGCAGAGGCTCATCGTCCCAGCACGGTGGCGAGCAGAGCCATCCTGATGTACATCCCGTTCTCCGCCTGTCGGAAATACGCCGCACGAGGATCTGAGTCCACCTCCGCACTGAAACACACACCACAACCACGTCAAAGTCTCAACTGTGTGTGTGTGTGTGTCTGTGTGTGTGTCTGTGTGTGTGTGTGTGTGTGTCTCTGTGTGTGTGTGTGTGTGTCTGTGTGTGTGTGTGTGTCTCTGTGTGTGTGTGTGTCTCTGTGTGTGTGTGTCTGTGTGTGTGTCTGTGTGTGTCTGTGTGTGTGTGTCTGTGTGTGTCTCTGTGTGTGTGTGTGTGTGTGTCTGTGTGTGTGTATATTTATTGTGATATTTTGAAGAGATAAAAAACATTGTGAATATTAAACTTTCTGTCGTAAACCAGAGACTTAAGATTTAAAGTTCTTCATAATTTATTTCATTGTGTAAATTGGACTGAAACAAAGCAAAGCATCATGGTCTCTGTAGTTTATTCTGTTTCTTTTAGACATTTCTGCATCATAACAATGAATTTCAACACAGACATTTGAGATTCGATGTATTATTCTGACGATACGATATCATGATATTTTGGATTAGTTACATCCTAAGAACAGGAGACTCGGGAGTCAGGTCCAGGGTCTCACGCTTTTTCACTGACAAAATGTCCAAAATATTCCATGATTTTTTCATGACTAAAGTGAATTTTTCCATGACTTTCCAGCACCTCCATGTGTAGAACTGATCAGACTTTTAGTTCTAAATCTGAAACATGAACCGTTTCCTCTCTCCTTATGGTTTTGGGATTATAGTTTTTGAACATTTACTGTCGTTTCTTTTAAACAAAAGACGTTCAGAAATAATCAGAACAGACTCATGAAAACTGAACAAACACTGGAGCGAAGGGAAACAAATTAAATCTACAGGACTTTTCCAGGATTTCTGGACCTGTTTCCACAGCGTTCAGCTCCAGTCAAATGAAGCTCATTGAGGTTAGCTGTTCTAGCTGAAACCAGGAGCATGTTTGGAAAGAGCCAATCAGGAAGGAGGAGGAGGAGCTGCTGCTGTGGTTTTGAGCTTTGCAGAAAAACATCGAAGTGAATGAGGCTGAAGGTGCAGCCACGTTCACACAGAAGGTCAGACTAAACCAGGACTAAACCGGGTCTAAACAGGACTAAAGCGGGACTGACCTGATCTCGTTGACTCGGGGCAGAGGATGCATCACCACCATCTTGTTCTTGGCTCCGGTCATGATGTGAGGAGTCAGGATGTACTGACCGAAGCTCTGAACAAGAAACATTTAACACACAAACATCAGAGTCCACGACATCAGCACAGTCCAACGGGTTTACAACACGGGAGACAGGTGAGACAGGTGAGACAGGTGAGACAGGTGAGAGACAGGTGAGACAGGTGAGACAGGTGAGACAGACAGGTGAGAGACAGGTGAGACAGGTGAGACAGGTGAGGAGACAGGTGAGAGACAGGTGAGACAGGTGAGACAGGTGAGACAGAGACAGGTGAGAGACAGGTGAGACAGGTGAGACAGGTGAGACAGGTGAGAGACAGGTGAGAGACAGGTGGGAGACAGGTGAGAGACAGGTGAGACAGGTGAGACAGGTGGAGACAGGTGAGACAGGTGAGACAGGTGGGAGACAGGTGGGAGACAGGTGAGACAGGTGAGAGACAGGTGAGAGACAGGTGAGAGACAGGTGAGAGACAGGTGGAGACAGGTGAGACAGGTGAGAGACAGGTGAGACAGGTGAGACAGGTGAGACAGGTGGGAGACAGGTGGGAGACAGGTGGGAGACAGGTGGGAGACAGGTGAGACAGGTGAGACAGGTGAGACAGGTGAGAGACAGGTGAGAGACAGGTGAGGTGAGACAGGTGAGAGACAGGTGGGAGACAGGTGAGACAGGTGGGAGACAGGTGAGAGACAGGTGAGAGACAGGTGGGAGACAGGTGAGAGACAGGTGAGACAGGTGAGACAGGTGAGAGACAGGTGAGACAGGTGGAGACAGGTGAGAGACAGGTGGGAGACAGGTGGACAGGTGGGAGACAGGTGGGAGAGACAGGTGAGACAGGTGGAGACAGGTGAGAGACAGGTGAGAGAGACAGGTGGGAGACAGGACAGGTGAGAGACAGGTGGGACAGACAGGTGAGAGACAGGTGAGGACAGGTGAGAGACAGGTGAGAGACAGGTGAGACAGGTGGACAGGTGAGACAGGTGAGACAGGTGGGAGACAGGTGAGAGACAGGTGGGAGACAGGTGGACAGGTGGGAGACAGGTGGGAGACAGGTGAGAGACAGGTGAGGACAGGTGGGAGACAGGTGGGACAGGTGGGAGACAGGTGAGACAGGTGAGACAGGTGAGAGACAGGTGAGAGACAGGTGGGAGACAGGTGAGACAGGTGACAGGTGAGAGACAGGTGAGACAGATGAGACAGGTGAGACAGAGACAGGTGGAGACAGGACAGGTGAGAGACAGGTGGAGACAGGTGGGAGACAGGTGGAGACAGACAGGTGGGAGAGACAGGTGAGGAGACAGGTGGGAGACAGGTGGAGACAGGTGAGAGACAGGTGAGAGACAGGTGGGAGACAGGTGGAGACAGGTGACAGGTGAGAGACAGGTGAGAGACAGGGACAGGTGGAGACAGACAGTGGGAGACAGGTGGGAGACAGGTGAGACAGAGACAGTGAGAGACAGGTGACAGGTGGGAGACAGGTGAGAGACAGGTGGGAGACAGGTGACAGGTGAGACAGGTGGGAGACAGGTGAGAGACAGGTGAGAGACAGGTGGGAGACAGGTGGGAGACAGGTGAGAGACAGGAGAGACAGTGAGACAGGTGGAGACAGGTGGACAGGGAGACAGGTGAGACAGGTGGGAGACAGGTGGAGAGAGACAGGTGAGACAGAGACAGGTGAGAGACAGGTGGAGACAGCAGGTGAGACAGGTGCAGGTGAGAGACAGGTGGAGACAGGTGGGAGACAGGTGAGAGAGACAGGTGGGAGACAGGTGGGAGACAGGTGGGAGACAGGTGGGAGACAGGTGGAGACAGGTGAGAGACAGGTGAGAGACAGGTGGGAACAGGTGGGAGACAGGTGAGACAGGTGAGACAGGTGAGAGACAGGTGGGAGACAGGTGAGACAGGTGGGAGACAGGTGAGACAGGTGAGAGACAGGTGGGAGACAGGTGAGAGACAGGTGGGAGACAGGTGAGACAGGTGAGACAGTGGGAGACAGGTGAGACAGGTGAGAGACAGGTGAGACAGGTGAGACAGGTGAGAGACAGGTGAGAGTGTCAGGTGCAGGTGTGTGTCCTGGATTATAATTCAGATCTAATTCCTGAATTTCTCCACATGAAACAAAAACTGACTCAAAGTTCAGCTTCTGTCAGGAAAAAGAAACTAAAGGTCCAGTCCGGGTCCAGTCCGGGTCCAGTCCGGGTCCAGTCCGGGTCCAGTCCGGGTCCAGTCCCCAGTCCCGAGTGTTTCAGCTGAAGGGACGTTAAACCAGAAGATGAATCTGTTTGTGGAGTTGATCTCAAACACAGAATGAGAAGGAGAAACATCTGAAGAGCACAAGTTTGGATATTTCTTAAAAACAGAATCTGCCACAGAGTCCCCACAGATTTAAACAGATTTAAACAGAGTCCCCACAGAGTCCCCACAGAGTCTCCCACAGAGTCCCCACAGAGTCCCCACAGAGTCCCCACAGAGTCCCACAGAGTCTCCCACAGAGTCCCCACAGAGTCTCCCACAGAGTCTCCCACAGGGTATCCAACAGAGTCCCCACAGAGTCTCCCACAGAGTCCCCACAGAGTCCCCACAGAGTCCCCACAGAGTCCCCACAGAGTCCCCACAGAGTCCCCACAGAGTCCCCACAGAGTCCCCACAGAGTCCCCACAGAGTCCCCACAGAGTCCCACAGAGTCCCCAGAGTCCCCACAGAGTCCCCAGAGTCCCACAGAGTCTCCCACAGAGTCCCCACAGAGTCCCCACAGAGTCCCCACAGAGTCCCCACAGAGTCCCCACAGAGTCTCCCACAGAGTCCCCACAGAGTCTCCCACAGAGTCCCCACAGAGTCTCCCACAGAGTCTCCCACAGAGTCTCCCACAGAGTCCCACAGAGTCCCCACAGAGTCTCCCACAGAGTCTCCCACAGAGTCCCCACAGAGTCTCCACAGAGTCCCCACAGAGTCCCCACAGAGTCCCCACAGAGTCTCCCACAGAGTCCCCACAGAGTCCCCTAGTGTCTCACCGCTCTGTATTCTTCCTCGGAGGAGAATCGTTCTTTCTGGATCCGGGTCATGTACAGAACATCTGTGTCGGGCAGCGCCTCCTCCAGGCTCTCAAACTCCTCCTGCTCCAACACAAACACAGATACACGATACACACCACACACACACACACACACACACACACACACACACACACACACACACACACACACACACACACACACACACACACACACACACACACACACACACACACACACACACACACACACACACACACACACACACACACACACACACACACACACACACACACACACACACACACACACACACACACACACACACAGGTATTAATATGGCACAGTAAAACCTCTTCATGTGTCTTAACGAGCTCATGAACAAACAGAATGAAAAACTCGAATGAAAACTCGTGGAAATGTCGGGACTTGTTAAAGCTGCAGTTTGTGGAGCTTCGTTCTGCTGTTTTTCTCTTTTGATTTTACAAAACTAATGAACATTTTATTTGTTTGTTTCCCAGTTTCACTCGAGTGTTTCACTTCAGAGTTAAAGAACACTGAGATGTTTCAGTCCCGCGGTGGTGGGCGGAGTCTCGTACCGCTGTAATGACACATTAAAAGCAGCTCAGACCTGTTTGATTCCTTTGGAGGCCACGTAGCTGCAGATCTCCGGTGGCATGTGCAGGTTCTTGGGGGCCACGTATCTCAGCGTGATGCGATACTGCGTCAGGAGTTTGGCGAGAGAGTGAACGGTGCGACCGTGTTTCAGGTCCCCGACCATCGTGATCTGACAAAACAAGAGACAAGAACGAGTTTGAGGTCGAGACAAGAACGAGTTTGAGGTTCGAGACAAGAACGAGTTTGAGGTTGAGACAAGAACGAGTTTGAGGTCGAGACAAGAACGAGTTTGAGATCCTCGACCATCGTGATCTGACAAAACACAAAGAAGAAAAGATGTGGACTGTTTTTTAAATCCAGTGTTTCTCAAGTTAAAGAAACTGACTTTTTGTGAGATTTTCATGTGGGAAATAAACTCATTATTTATATTTAACGCTCTTCTGTTTCAGTTCTGACTCATGAATCTGTTCAAAAGGCACTCAGAATATTGGTATCGAATATCACTTTGAGTATGAGTATCAGGATCAGCAGTTAATGATATCAAAGAGCCTGGATAATAATCGGCCAATACCGATACTGAAACCTGTTTATCCTCATTGATCATGAGTAAAACTCTAAACTCCTGGGGAATCATCAGGACGTTCTGAACACAGAAGGTCAAAGAGGAAGAACCAAAGGAAGAACTCTGGACCAAAGGGCTTAAAATGAACTCAAATCAGGTCCAAAAACACAGAGGGAACAGGCTGTGCTCCATTTGAGACAGAAGAACTGTGCTGTAGTAACAGAACATTAGTAGATAAAGTTTTTACACTTAGAATTTAAACTCAGCCATGTGTTGATTTTATAAAGTATACAAGTATAATTTATATATAAGTATATAAAAGTATAAAAGTATATAAAAGTAAATAAACTCACGGTCATCCCGTTGACGGTGCCCAGCTCCTCTCGGATGGTGAAAACGTCCAGAAGAGCCTGAGTCGGATGTTCTCCAACTCCATCTCCAGCGTTTATCACCGGCTTACGGCAATGACGAGAGGCAGACTGAAGAGAAGAAGAGAGGGAAGAAGAGGAGGAGGAGAGGAGAGGAGAGAGGAGAGAGGAGAGGGAAGAGGAGAGAGAGGAGAGGTGTTTAATGTGACACCAAAGTTGTTGGTAAATGTTCAGTGACGATTAAGGTTAAAACTGATTCTTTTTGTTGTTACTGTAAGAGAATTGAAGTTATTTATCCTCCTCGTTTTTCTCTCAGTTTCACATCGACTCACAGGAGCAACAAAAACTATTTTTGGACGGTTGGTTTTTGGCATTTTGTGGGGCAGCAGCAGCAACATTTGAAAAAAATCCTATCTGTGTCATTAAAAGATCAGATACAGGAGCAGAGGGACCAAACATCTGATCTGTGGGACTTCAGGCTGCAGACTGAACGTGGACATGGAGACCTGGAGACCTGGAGACCTGGAGACCTTGGAGACCTGGAGACTTGGAGACTTGGAGACTTGGAGACTTGGAGACTTGGAGACTTGGAGACCTGGAGACTGGAGACTGTAACCTGTTCTCACCTCCACGGCTCCGGGCGTCGGGTGGCGCAGCACGAGGACGTCGGCGTAGCAGCTCATGGTCTGGACGGAGTCGCACAGCGACTCTCCCTTCTGACACGACGACGTCGACTCGCTGAAGTGAACCACGGATCCTCCCAGACGAGACATGGCCGCGGCGAAGGAGCTGCTGGTGCGAGTGCTCACCTCGTAGAACATGGACGCCATCACGCGACCCTGCGGGGACAGAAGGGGGGGCGGGTCAGCTGGGAGAGCAGAGGTTTGTGCTCCAGTTTGAGGTTTGTAGATTTACTTTGAGAATGTCGAGGCTGCGCTCCTTCTGCACCATCAGACGCAGAGAGTGAGCCACGTTAAACAGGTGAGACATCTGAAAAACAAAAACAGGTGAAAAATAAAAAGGTGAGACAAAAACAAGACGACAAAGTGACACTGATCAGCGTCTGCAGGACACAGAAGAACAGCCCTGCGTGTGGATTCTAAACTTTTAAACTCAGACTCATGAAGCACTGACCTGGTCTTTGGTGAACTGGCGCACGGACAGGATGTGCTGCCCCACCAGAGGGTGCAGCAGTGGAGACACCTGCAGGTGAGAGGCAGGTACTGCAGCGGCCTGAGCCTGAGGAGAGAGGAGGCGCGACAGAGGAGGAGGGTGAGAGTACGAGTCTCCAGACGGAGGCAGGACAGAGGGAGGCAGCATCACCAGCTCTGAGGAGAGAGGAGGGTCACAGGTCACAGGTCACAGGTCACAAGTCACAGGTCACAGGTCGGACTAAAACTAAAGATCTGCTCTATTCACATTTGGAAACATGAGGTGAAACTTCAGGTGTTTTTCCGACTCTGGACTCGAGCGACTGTGATAAACCCACTGAAGTAAAAGTGTCAGTGGTAAAACGTAAACTGCAGACGCCTGTGCTGTTTGAATCGTCTCATCACATGTTAGAGCTGGTATCATTAAGAAGTTGACGATACGATACAGATCCCGATACAGTGCACTTTCAATTCGATATGATAGATTTCATATTGATTCGATACGGTTCAGTGAAAAATAAAGGCCAAATCATGTCTGACACTAAAAGTCTTTGTTAAACCACTTCTTCTTCTTGTGCAAAGTTCATATGAAACACAAATATTTTATTCCTCAAAACAGTGAAAATGTCAAATGTGTCGCATAAATGAGTTTCCTTTCACTCCACAAGCAACAAAACTGTAGCTGGAACAAAATAATTTAGTAAAACACACTTAAAAATCCTCCTCGATACAGCAGCCCACGATATCGATGCTGTATCATCACATTAAACGATACGATATATCGATATTCCGATATTTTTGCACAGCCCTAGTGTCTGTTGTGTGTCTGTTGTCTGTTGTGTGTCTGTTGTGTGTCTGTTGTGTGTCTGTTGTGCGTCTGTTGTGCGTCTGTTGTGCGTCTGTTGTGCGTCTGTTGTCTGTTGTGCGTCTGTTGTGCGTCTGTTGTCTGTTGTGCTTGTGTCGTCTGTTGTGCGTCTGTTGTCTGTTGTGCGTCTGTTGTGCGTCTGTTGTGCGTCTGTCGTCTGTTGTGCGTCTGTTGTGCGTCTGTCTGTGTGTCTGTTGTTGTGCGTCTGTTGTGTCTGTTGTGCGTCTGTTGTCTGTTGTGTCTGTTGTCGTCTGTTGTCTGTTGTGTCTGTTGTCTGTCTGTTGTCTGTTGTGCGTCTGTTGTCTGTTGTGCGTCTGTTGTCTGTTGTTGTCTGTTGTGCGTCTGTTGTCTGTTGTGCGTCTGTTGTTGTGCGTCTGTTGTCTGTTGTGCTGTTGTGCGTCTGTTGTGCGTCTGTTGTCTGTTGTCGTCGTCTGTTGTGTTGCGTCTGTTGTCTGTTGTGCGTCTGTTGTGCGTCTGTTGTGCGTCTGTGGGGAAATGGGGAAAACTGAGGTGTGTTTGAATTGTTGATGAGCCGAACATAAAGGAACGACACAATGACACGAAGATGAAGAAAACTGGGACATTCAAGCCCAGAGGAAGTTTCATCACAGGTTTCCAAACGTCTTCCTGGTTTGTGATGGAAGTGTGTGTCTTTGTGTGTGTGTCTTTGTGTGTGTGTGTGTGTGTGTGTGTGTGTGTGTCTTTGTGTGTGTCTTTGTGTGTGTGTCTTTGTGTGTGTGTGTGTGTCTTGTGTGTGTGTGTGTGTGTGTCTTTGTGTGTGTGTCTTTGTGTGTGTGTCTTTGTGTGTGTGTCTTTGTGTGTGTGTTGTTGTGTGTGTGTGTGTCTTGTGTGTGTGTGTGTGTGTGTCTTTGTGTGTGTGTCTTTGTGTGTGTCTTTGTGTGTGTGTGTTTGTGTGTGTGTCTTTGTGTGTGTGTGTTTGTGTGTGTGTGTTTGTTGTGTGTGTGTGTGTGTGTGTGTTTGTACCCGGGGGCAGTCCTGGGTCAGACGTGCGGTGGACTCTAGGGGGCAGCAGAGCGCGGCGTGGGCTCTGGGCTCGGCTCCGGACCGAGTCTCGGGGAGGAGTCGGTCTGAGACGCTCAGGGGTCTGAAGGACAAAAGAGACAAAACATGAGAAGGAGACACGAGACATGACACAGGAAGAGACACCGACAAGACACGACACGAGACGAAGACACCAGACGAAGACACAAAGACACGAGACGGAGACACGAGACAAAGACATAGAGACATGTGTTTGTATCATGACTTGAGTTGACATGAGTTCTTTACCATGGGCGTCTCTTTGAGCTCCGAGGGCGGCTGGGTCGGGGTCGGCCATGTTTTCACATCTTCACCGTAACCAGGGGCAACCAGCACCTGCCGGAGCACAGGACAGGTGTAAATGACAGGTGTAAATGACAGGTGTAAGTGTCTCAGTAAATGTGATGTAGAGACAGTGAGAAGGTTAGAACATAATCTTTAGTATCTGGAGTTTAAATCCCGCAGGAGACAGTCGTCCTGCGGCTCTGACCTGTCCGTCGATGTAGGCCACTTCTCCTCTCAGAACGACCCGCCGCACTTTGCCCTTCACCTTCCTGCCCGCGAACGGCGTCCATTTGGATTTGGTGAACTGCATAAACTCCGGGATCTCCCACTCCTGCTCCAGATCCACCTGCAGAACAAAACATTTACAAACAATTCACTATATTTCTTCAGAATAAAAGCCCGGTCCCGTGTGCCCGGACGCACCTCCACGAAGGTGTTCTCCTGGGCCGGCAGGTTGAAAATCCTCCTCGGGTTTTCGTAAAGTCGTTTGATCAAATCGTCCATCGTGAGGCGCCCGTCGCTCACCGCCGTCAGCAGCAACGGAAGCATCGTCTCCAAACCCGGAAAACCCGGAGGAGGTTTAGAGCTGTTCTTCTCCTCCACCGAGTGAGGAGCTGAAACAGAGAGGGACAAAGACAGGGACAGGGACAGGGACAGGGACAGGGACAGGGACAGGGACAGGGACAGGGACAGGGACAGGGACAGGGGACAGGGACAGAGACAGAGGACAAGGGGGAGAGACAGTGTTGAGACAGGAAATACTTTACACGTGTCCCACTGAGCCTGAGATTCAAATGTAGTTTTTATTTGTCATCATGTCCTTTTTTGTTGTCGTACTTTTTGTGGGTTTCAGGGAAATGATCTGAGCTGATTTGAAGGATTTTGTGAGGACATTTCTTCAACATATTCAATAATTTTATATCCTTCCAATCAGGAGTCCTCCTTCTGCCCTGTGTCCCGGGTCTCGGGTCCCGGGTCTCGTCCAGGTCTTTACCGTGGTCTGTGGCGAAACAGTCGATGATGTCCATGTTGTCCCACAGCGCCTCCTGGTCTTCTCTGGAGGACAGCGCGGGTTTGACCTGAGCTCGTCCGACTCCGATCTCGGCGACGTCGTCCTCACAGAGGAACAGGTGATGAGGCGCCACCTCACAGGTGACCTGCACGCCCTTCTGCTTCGCCGCACGAATCAGCAGGATCTGAACACGAGCAACAGACCAGAATTTACACCTGCTCCTTCACACGCACATATATACATACATATATACATACATACATATATACACACATATATACATATATACATACATATATACATACATATGTACATCTAAACCTAGAGTGTCTGTGTCTCTATGGTTCTGCGGATCATTACTGAAGTTATTTTAACAAAAAAGAAGAAAAAACTGAACTGTTGTCAAAGTAAACTAAACCGCAGTGTCTCATGTAGAAGGACGTACCTCCTCTTTCCTCGCCACGTGACAGATGTGCACCGGCCTCTGGTAAAGCTGAGCCACCATCAGAATCGCCGCCACCGTCTGACGCTCGGCGTGAGCCACGATCGGGAGAGACTTCGGCCACTTCTCAAAATGCTACAGGAGGAAAAACGAGGAGGTTAACGAGGAAAGATCAGAGCAGAAGACGAGGAGGAGAGGATGGGAGGAGGAGGAGCGGGTCAGAGGAACAGGGGACACCAGACCTCCATCCACAGAGACACGTTGTCCATCTTGAGGGTGGAGTAAGTGTCGTTCAGGTACATCTTGAGGCCGGCCGCCTGGTGCGCGATGGCAGCGAGGGAGGAGGCGTTATCTGAGGCGGCGCCGAGGTACAGAGCGTAATCACAGCGGCACCCGGCCTTCGCCAACTGAACACGAAAACACAAACACACAACGAGAGAGAATTACACACAGAGTTACTGAAACACGACCCGGTGAGGTTCTAGCTCAGAGTTCTGGTGTTCTCCCTCACCTTCTGCACCAGGGCGAGCGAGGCGGCGTCCGTTACCGCGGGCGACGTGTTCGGCATCGCACACACCAGAGTCACTCCTCCCGCAAGAGCCGCAGCCGTCCCCGAAGAAAAGTCCTCCTTATGCAACGCCCCGGGCTCACGGAGGTGAACGTGCACGTCTACAAGGCCTAGAGGAAGAACACAAGAAGGTCAGAGGAAGAACAGAGGAAGAACAGAAGAAGAACAGAAGAAGGTCAGAGGAAGAACACAAGGAACACAAGAAGGTCAGAGGAAGAACAGAAGAAGAACAGAGGAAGAACACAAGAAGGTCAGAGGAAGAACAGAGGAACAGAGGAAGAACACAAGAAGGTCAGAGGAAGAACAGAGGAAGAACAGAGGAAGAACACAAGAAGGTCAGAGGAAGAACAGAGGAGCAGAGGAGGAGCAGAGGAGGAGCAGAGGAGGAGCAGAGGAGGAGCAGAGGAGGAGCAGAGGAGGAGCAGAGGAGGAGCAGAGGGTGTCAGGCTCTGAGGTTCTTAAGGTTCTTGTGTTTCTCTTGTTTCTCGTACCGGGCAGTCGGACCAGAGTCTGGGACGTCATACTGTCCACGTGAGTCTTGACGGGGGGACTGAGGCCGATCTGATGCAGCGCCTGAACACAAACACAAGCATGTTTCAAACAAAGTCTTAAACCCCGCCCCCTCACCTGTCTAAACCCGTAAACCCCGCCCCCTCACCTGTCTAAAACCCCCCATAAACCCTGCCCCCTCACCTGTCTAAACCCATAAACCCCGCCCCCTCACCTGTCTAAACCCGTAAACCCCGCCCCCTCACCTGTCTAAACCCGTAAACCCCGCCCCTCACCTGTCTAAACCCGTAAACCCGCCCCTCAAACCCCGCCCCCTCACCTGTCTAAACCCCGCCCCTCTCACCTGTCTAAACCCGTAAACCCCGCCCCCTCACCTGTCTAAACCCCGCCCCTTCTCTCACCTGTACGAAGAGCTTGGTGCACTTGATGTCGATGATGAGCGGGACGGAGAAGTCCACGGCCATCCTCCTCGTCCTGTATCCTCGGGTGACGAAGGAGGAGAGACGACGCCCCCCGCTGTTCCTCATCGACAGGTTTATCACCAGGTCAAAGTGGTTCTCCTCCAGATAATCCATGATGCTCGGCTGTTTGTCCTGAGACGCGCTGTCCTCCTCCTCCTCGAACGGCCAGTCCACCGCCTTCACCTGAGAGAGGAAGAGGACGAAGAGGACGAAGAGGACGAAGAGGAGGAAGAGGACGAAGAGGAGGAAGAGGACGAAGAGGAGGAAGAGGAGGAAGAGGACGAAGAGGAGGAAGAGGAGGAAGAGGAGGAGGAAGAGGACGAAGAGGACGAAGAGGACGAAGAGGAGGAAGAGGAGGAGGAGAGGAAGAGAAGAGGGAAGAGAGAAGAGGACGAAGAGGAGGAAGAGGAGGAAGAGGAGGAAGAGGAGGAAGAGGACGAAGAGGACGAAGAGGACGAAGAGGACGAAGAGGACGAAGAGGAGGAAGAGGAGGAAGAGGACGAAGAGGACGAAGAGGAGGAAGAGGAGGAAGAGGACGAAGAGGACGAAGAGGACGAAGAGGACGAAGAGGACGAAGAGGAGAGGAGGAAGAGGACGAAGAGGAGGAAGAGGAGGAAGAGGAGGAAGAGGACGGAAGAGGAGGAAGAGGACGAAGAGGACGAAGAGGACGAAGAGGACGAAGAGGATGAAGAGGACGAAGAGGAGGAAGAGGAGGAAGAGGACGAAGAGGACGAAGAGGACGAAGAGGAGGAAGAGGACGAAGAGGACGAAGAGGAGGAAGAGGACGAAGAGGAGGAAGAGGAGGAAGAGGACGAAGAGGACGAAGAGGACGAAGAGGAGGAAGAGGACGAAGAGGACGAAGAGGACGAAGAGGAGGAAGAGGAGGAAGAGGACGAAGAGGAGGAAGAGGAGGAAGAGGAGGAAGAGGAGGAGGAGAGTAAATATCCGACACAGAGGAGGAGACCCGGACGTTTATGACCGTTGTGTTCGGACGTTTGACCTTGACTCCGTGCTCCGTGTAGAAGTCGGCGGTGCCCAGACTCGCGTAAAGATCGAAGCCCAACGACTCGAGAGCCCGAACCGTGGGCAGCAGCTCGCTCTTATTCTGAAAGGACAACACAAGAGCTCTTATTCTGAAAGGACAACACAAGAGCTCTTATTCTGAAAGGACAACACAAGAGCTCTTATTCTGAAAGGACAACACAAGAGCTCTTATTCTGAAAGGACAACACAAGAGCTCTTATTCTGAAAGGACGACCGAGACCACAGACTGTAGAGGACGGAGGGACGTCCCACAGCTGGGTCCCCGTGGGTCCGTACCTTGTAGCTGCCGATGGAGAGGAGGATGTTCTTCTTGGGGATCTTGAAGCCGGTGGAGAGCATGGCCTTCAGATACGCCTCGTAACGATTTTCTCCAAAACACGCCACCTCCCCAGTGCTGGTCATCTCCACGCCCAGAACCACGTCTGCTCCGGCCAGACGCGAGAACGAGAACTGAGGGACCTGCAGCACACGGACACAAGGTTTAGGCCGGGTCCAGTCCCGGGTCCAGTCCCGGGTCCAGTCCCGGGTCCAGTCCGTGGTCCAGTCCGTGGTCCAGTCCGTGGTCCAGTCCGTGGTCCAGTCCGTGGTCCAGTCTCACCTTGACCCCGACCACGCCCTTCCCGGTCATCAGTCCCACAGGCTCCACCTCCTCGCCCATGATGGCCTGCGTCGCCAGGGCGACCAGATCCACGCCCAGAGTCTTGGAGACGAAGGGAAACGAGCGTGACACTCGAACGTTACACTCGATCACCTTCAGCTGGTCGTCCTGGAAACAGACACAAAAAAACAACAACAAAATCATATTTAAAAATCATTTACTCTGAAAAAAAAACGGAGAAAGACTCGATGAGATCCGAGAGAAACAAACAGTTTGAAATAGACTGGCGGGTTCGAGGCGAGTTCGTGGCGTGTTTGTACCTTGGCGATGAGCTGCAGGTTGAAGGGTCCCGTGACCTGAAGCTCCTGCCCGATGGCGTGGACGATGGACTTGATTCGGTCGATGGTTTTCTGGTTGAGGTCCTGAGGCGGCGTGACCAGCGTGGCGTCTCCCGAGTGGACTCCGGCGTTCTCCACGTGTTCGGAGACGGCAATCGCCAAAACCACGCCGTCCTGAGCCACCGCGTCCACGTCGATCTCCTGAAGAACAAAACAAAGACGTGTGAGGAGATACGACAGTGGAGATGTTTGAGATGCCCATGACTCTGGAGGTTCCTCTGACCTTGGCCTCCTGGATGAACTTGGAGATGACGACCGGATGCTCCTTGGACACGGCCACAGCGTTGCTCAGAAACTTCACCAGGTCTTTGTCTGAATAGGCCACGTTCATCGCAGCTCCGCTCAGAACATACGAGGGACGCACCAGGCACGGGTACCCCACTGCCTCACAGAACCCCACCGCCGACTGTGGAGAGAAAGAACATGAACCCCACTGCCTCACAGAACCCCACCGCCGACTGTGGAGAGAAAGAACATGAACCCCACTGCCTCACAGAACCCCACCGCCGACTGTGGAGAGAAAGAACATGAACCCCACCGCCCCGCAGAACCCCAAGAACCCCACCGCCGACTGTGGAGAGAAAGAACATGAACCCCACTGCCTCACAGAACCCCACCGCCGACTGTGGACAGAAAGAACATGAACCCCACCGCCTCACAGAACCCCACCGCCGACTGTGGAGAGAAAGAACATGAACCCCACCGCCTCACAGAACCCCACCGCCGACTGTGGAGAGAAAGAACATGAACCCCACTGCCTCACAGAACCCCACCGCCGACTGTGGACAGAAAGAACATGAACCCCACTGCCTCACAGAACCCCACCGCCGACTGTGGAGAGAAAGAACATGAACCCCACCGCCTCGCAGAACCCCACCGCCGACTGTGGAGAGAAAGAACATGAACCCCCACCGCTCGCAGAACCCCACCGCCGACTGTGGAGAGAAAGAACATGAACCCCACCGCCTCGCAGAACCCCACCGCCGACTGTGGAGAGAAAGAACATGAACCCCACTGCCTCACAGAACCCCACCGCCGACTGTGGAGAGAAAGAACATGAACCCCACTGCCTCACAGAACCCCACCGCCGACTGTGGACAGAAAGAGTATGAACCCCACCGCCCGCAGAACCCCAAGAACCCCACCGCCGACTGTGGAGAGAAAGAACATGAACCCCACGCCTCACAGAACCCACCGCCGACTGTGGAGAGAAAGAACATGAACCCCACCGCCTCACAGAACCCCACCGCCGACTGTGGACAGAAAGAGTATGAACCCCACCGCCCCGCAGAACCCCACCACCTGACAGAACCCACAGCTTCACGAGACCCCACTGCCCTGCAGAACCACACCTCTGACTGTGGAGAGTCCGCCTCTTACCTCGGTGTCGGACAGCTCCTTCCACTGCGGTTGGCTGATCCCGATGGCATCCAACATTCGGGAGAACTTGAACCGGTTCTCTGCGTTGTCGATGAACTCGGGCGACGTGCCCAGGATGCGGCACTGCTGCCGGTGCAGAGACATGGCGATGTTATTGGGCAGTTGCCCACCCATGGACAGGACCACACCCTCGGGGTTCTCATGCTCGTAGATGTCCATCACCGTCTGCAGGATAATTCAGGAGGACAGACTCAGGAGGACAGTCTCAGAGGACAGACTCAAGAGGACAGACTCAAGAGGACAGACTCAAGAGGACAGTCTCAAGAGGACAGTCTCAAGAGGACAGACTCAAGAGGACAGTCTCAAGAGGACAGTCTCAAGAGGACAGAGGACAGTCTCAAGAGGACAGTCTCAAGAGGACAGTCTCAAGAGGACAGTCTCAAGAGGACAGACTCAAGAGGACAGACTCAAGAGGACAGATTACTTTTTTGTTTATTAACCAGTGGCCCAAGAGTCATTAAAAAATCTAACAGCAAATGTAGTTTTTCTTTGGAGCAGAGTCTCACCTCGAAGGAGATTTCATCAAAGTAAAGTCGGTCACACATGTCGTAGTCCGTGCTCACGGTCTCGGGGTTATAATTCACCATGATCGTCTTACAGCCCATCTGCACAAAAACAAGAGTCAAAATATAAAAAGACAAATCTGCAGCAACGAGACAAAGAACAAAACGAAAATGGAAAGTGTGAATGAAACTAAACTCCAGTTCACTCTGACGTCACTGACCCGGCGCAGTTCCGTGATGCAGCCGACCGCGCACCAGTCGAACTCCACGCTGCTGCCGATGCGGTAAACGCCGGAGCCGATGACCATGACGTGCTGCTGGTCGAAGGTCAGGTCGTGGGAGGAGCCGTGGTACGTCAGGTACAGGTAGTTGGTGTGAGCCGGCCACTCCGCTGCCACCGTGTCGATCTGCTTCACCACCGGAAGAATCGACCAATGAGAGCGCAGACGCCGCACCGCCAGCTCCGTGCTACAGGGGGCAGCAGAGACGCACTTTAGTACAACGCACATGACACCACATGACATTATACTGTACAAAATCAAAAATGCATTTTCTCAGACGACACCAGACTCGGCCTCAGTCGATTCCAACACAAACATAATCCTGTATTTACTTCCTGCTCGTGTGGTTCCTCACCTCTGCACGGCCTGAGCGATCTGTTTGTCTGAGAAGCCGAGCTGTTTGGCCTTCCTCATCACCTCCGGGGGCATCGCGCTCTCGTCCTGAAGAGAAACGGGTCAAATATGGGTCAAATATGGGTCAAATACTACAACAGGTCAAATCACAAACACAAATCTCAATCTACAACCACAGAAGTAGAATAAACCTTTTCCACATCGGCCAAAGTCCCGTCCTGTAGGTTTGTGGAACTTTCGGGTAATGTTTTTCTGTGTAAATGTGTGTGTAAATGTGTGTAAATGTCTGAGTGTAAGTGTGTGTAAGTGTGTGTCGTATTCTCCAGCAGTTTCATAAATCTGCTCCATCACCAAATCTTCAACCAACAAACTCCACAAAGGATAAACATTCTTTATTCGCTTGTTGTTTCCTTCAAGTTTTGTTCTTTCTTCTCTTTAAAATTGTGGATAAATTCTTCATGAAGAATATTTATTCTTTGTGGATCTTGTTGTTGTTGAAGTTGTGGTGATCTGAGACGCTCCAGACATTTACACAAACATTTAAACTTCCAGCTGCTGTGGAAAAGGTCGATCAGATCTGAACATGAATCTGTTTTTCAGTGGTCTGAGCTCAAAAGTATTTTTACTTCTTCATTACTTCCTGAATCCTGATGTCACACCACCAAACGTGTGACATCAGAAACATGCAGGTCAGGGGTCAGGGGTCAGGTACATTGTTTTCTATGGGAGATTCTGCAGTACCTGGAGTCACCACTAGTCAATCTCACAGATACACGACAGATGAAATCCTTCCTAAAACAGTGCTGTGCCAGCGCCCCCTGCTGGTAGGCCCTTAAACAGTAGCGTTAGTGTGAGAGTTCGAGCTCCACCTGGTTGAAGGTCTCCAGGAGCCTCTCGTGGTCGGCGATGTTCTTCATTTTGTGCAGAAACCAGCGGTCGATCTTGGTGAGTTCGTAGAGTCGCTCCACAGAGAATCCGTCTCTGAGCGCGGACGCCAACACGAAGATGCGTTTGTCTGTGGGCGTCTCCAGCTCCTGAACAAAAACAACAACAACATTTACATGAAAACTGCTCAGCGCTGCAGGTTTGTACAGCTGAACTTTACACTTCTGTAAGTTTGGTTTATTTAAGTGCTGAGGGAGAAGAGGTAACGAAGGTTTGTGGGCGGAGCCTCGTACAGGCTCATACTGCTAAACGTAAGGAGTGTTTGAATACGGCTCAGGAGAGATCACTAGATTACTCAAACATGCATGGATGACTAAAAACTGTTCAGGCAGGTTTGTGAACATAAGAGAACGAGACAAAAAGTCGATTCTGTGTCGCACCTCATTATCAGGAGTCATAGAACCACAGTTACACTCAGGACTTTCGTGGCTTTTTATTTATGTTTTGTTATTTTGGGCAAGAAAGAGATTCACATTCTTAAACAATGGAACTAAACAAGTGAAATCATCATTTAAGTTTTAATTTTTCACCCACACGTCTGCACTAGAGCACGAAAACCCGACCAAAGTCCAACAGGACCTGACCGAACCGACACAATGACACAACGACACAACGACACAACTGCTTCAGCGGTTTCCTGTTTCCCATCTCAAGTGGCTCCAGTGGCTCCAGTGGCTCCAGTGGCTCCAGTGGCTCCAGTGGCTCCAGTGGCTCCAGTGGCTCCAGTGGCTCCAGTGGCTCCGAGACGCTTAAGTGTTTAAAGATCAGACTCTGCACTTCTAGTTTAGATCCAAATTCAAACTTATTATTTGTGAAATGTGAAGCAAAATGAAATGCTGCACTTTAAACTGAACATTTTAAATACGTGATCAATAAAGTCTCATTATTATTTTCACTGTTTCTGAGTTTGCGTTTTGTGTCTCTGTGTCAGAGGAACAAACTAAACCCTCCGAGTGTCATTAGACCAAAGGAAAAACTGAGTTTAATTGTGTCAGACGCTGGTCAGGAGACAACAGAAAAACTGACTCGATTCACACTCTCCTCCACACACACGGACTCGTCTCTCACCTCCTCTGAGGCGGGTTTGATGGTGTGATCGAAGCCCACACAGTTCTCGTCCACCATCCTCAGCGCTTTCTGAAACGCCTCCTCGAAGCTGCGTCCGATGGCCATCACCTCCCCTGCACAGACCCACAGACGGTTCAGAACAAACAAACACGAGCAGGAACCTCCCCCAACCCCGACGCCGAAACTCACCCACGCTCTTCATGGACGACCCGATCTTGGTGGAGACTCGGAGGAACTTGCTCAGGTCCCAGCGCGGCACCTTCACCACGCAGTAGTCCAGACTGGGCTCAAAGTTCGCCGTGGTCGAGTTCGTCACAGAGTTTCTGAAAAGTTTAACAAGAAATGAGAAGAAGAAAAACAAGTGTACGTCTGTCTGACCTGACATTTTTAAATCTAAAACCACTTCATAAAGAAACAAGTGTGACGACTAAACCAGGACTGGACCTGAACTCAAACTATAAAACTAAAGTCTAACATACTGAAAGTCCAGAACTTGGACCCAGACTCACCTGAGCTGTGGCAGAGGAATGCCCAGACCCAGTTTGGCCGCCACGTACGCCAGCGGGTATCCTGTGGCCTTCGACGCCAGGGCCGAGCTCCGGGACAGACGGGCGTTCACCTCGATGATGTAATACTGGAAATAGAGAAAGAAACGACCCTGAGTGTACAGAAGAGACTTTACATGACCTTTGAACTCAGGCAGACGAGTCCAGGGTTCAGGGGTCGTACCTGCTTGGACTCGGGGTTCAGGGGTCGTACCTGCTCGGACTCGGGGTTCAGGGGTCGTACCTGCTCGGACTCGGGGTTCAGGGGTCGTACCTGCTCGGACTCAGGGTTCGAGGTTCAGAGGTCAGGGGTCGTACCTGCTCAGACTCGGGGTTCAGGGTTCAGGGGTCGTACCTGCTCGGACTCGGGGTTCAGGGGTCGTACCTGCTCGGACTCGGGGTTCAGGGGTCGTACCTGCTCGGACTCGGGGTTCAGGGGTCGTACCTGCTCGGACTCGGGGTTCAGGGGTCGTACCTGCTCGGACTCGGGGTTCAGGGGTCGTACTGCTCGGACTCGGGGTTCAGGGTTCAGGGGTCGTACCTGCTCGGACTCGGGTTCAGGGTCGTACCTGCTCGGACTCGGGGTTCAGGGGGGCTCGTACCTGCTCGGACTCGGGGTTCAGGGTCGTACCTGCTCGGACTCAGGGGTTCAGGGTCAGGGTCGTACCTGCTCTCGGACTCGGGGTCAGGGGTCGTACCTGCTCGGACTCGGGGTTCAGGGGGGGTCGTACCTGCTCGGACTCGGGGTTCAGAGGTCAGGGGTCGTACCTGCTCGGACTCGGGGTTCAGGGTCAGTCGTACCTGCTCGGGGTACTCGACTGCTCGGACTCGGGTTCAGGGTTACCTGCTCGGACTCGGGTTCAGGGGTCGTACCTGCTCGGACTCGGGGTTCAGGGTTCAGGGGTCGTACCTGCTCGGACTCGGGGTTCAGGGGGGTCGTACCTGCTCGGACTCGGGGTTCAGGGGTCGTACCTGCTCGGACTCGGGGTTCAGGGGTCGTACCTGCTCGGACTCGGGTTCAGGGGTCGTACCTGCTCGGACTCGGGGTTCAGGGGTCGTACCTGCTCGGACTCGGGGTTCAGGGGTCGTACCTGCTCGGACTCGGGGTTCAGGGCGTACTGGATGTTGCACTCGCCCACGATGCCCAGGTGTCTGATGACTTTGATGGCCGTGTGGCGGAGCATGTTGTACTCGCGGTCGTTCAGCGTCTGACTCGGCGCCACCACGATCGACTCGCCCGTGTGGATGCCCAGAGGGTCGATGTTCTCCATGTTACACACCTGAGACACGGAACACAGACGGGCAGGTGTGAGAGAAAGTACAGAACACTCGCACAGACCCTCAGTTTCTCAGAGTCCCTCAAAATTCCTCACAGTCCGTCACAGTTCCTCAGAGTTCATCATAGACCCTCAGTTCCCCACAGTTCCTCACCGTGATGCAGTTGTCGTAGGCGTCCCTCACCACCTCGTACTCGATCTCCTTCCAGCCTTTCAGAGACTTGTCCACCAGGACCTGAGACGTGTGAGCGAACGCAGACGAAGCCAAAGACGTGAGCTCCTCTCGATTATTCGCGAACCCGGAGCCCAGTCCCCCCAACGCAAACGCCGACCGCATCAGGACAGGGTACCCCAACCTCTCTGCAGCTGCCACGGCCTGGAGGAGCAGAGGAGAGGGTCAGAAGGTCAAGATGGTTCTCACTCAGAGTCAGTCTCGTTCACAGAGACGTTCTCACCTGCTCCACGGAGAAGGCGGCCTCGCTAGGAGCCACGTGTTCGTTGATCTCCTCCATCTTCTCCACAAAGATCTTTCGGTCTTCGGTCATCTCGATGGAGGACACCGGCGTCCCGAGCACTTTCACTTTGTACCGCTCCAAAACGCCGCGCTTGGTGAGCTCCACGCCGCAGTTCAACGCCGTCTGACCCCCGAAGGTCAAGAGCACGCCGTCCGGACGCTCGTTCTTTATCACCTGCAGGAAGAGAACACAGTTTGGAAATATTCGTTCTGTATTTGTTTTATCAAATAAGAAAATCAACTCTGAGCAGAATTTGTAAAAGAGAAGAACAGAACTAGAGAGACAAGTCCAGGCAGAAGGTCCAGATGTTCCTCCTCCTTCTTATTGGAAAAATGACATTTGGAATATTTTTAATTGTACAAAAGTTGGGTTTATTGAACAGAATCCTTGTGTTTTGTCTTCGGTTTCCTTCAGACTGACCTGGGTCACATAGTCCGCGGTGATGGGCAGGAAGTAAACTTTATCGGCCAAACCTTTGGAGGTCTGGACTGTGGCGATGTTTGGGTTTATCAGAACCGTCTGGATCCGCTCCTCCTTCAGAGCTTTGATCGCCTGAAAACAGAACGAAGAAAGAATTACTTTAATCTAAATGTATTTGTAGAAAGAAAAGTTAAGTTGAACTAAAGCTAAAATACAAACGACGAGGAAAAGTCTGTTTCAGTTTGTGTCCAAATGTTAAGAACGATTCAAAACTGAACCGGTGGAACACTCAGTACGACTTTGATCAATTACAAGCAGAAATACAGTCTAAAACATTTTGACAGATTTTTGAGCATCGTGTAAACACATAAAATCGGTTCACGGTCAGTAACACAACCAGAATGAATACATAAGACACCGGATTATAAAGGTGCACTGTCGATTTTTGAGAAAATTAAAGGATTGTAAGTGTGTCTTATAGTCTGAAAAATACTGCACATGGGCTGAATGACCTTAAGCCCCGCCCCCTGGTGTCACTCAGGACTCATAGAACCACAGTTACATAAATGAACTGGCTGCGTTCAGACCTGAGACCCGGAGTAGTCGAACTCTCCCGCCTGCCCGATGGACAGACCTCCAGAGCCCAGGATCAGGACTTTCCGAGGCCTCACGACGTCTTCAGGTTTGGGGGCAGCGGAGAAGGTCAGGTGCTCTGTCAGACGCTGTTTCACTGGAGAAAAGAAGAAAGAACGTTCAGCACAACATCAGAACATCAGAGTCAGGAGAATATTTATTACACATATTTAAACAGGACGAGGCTCCAGTACCGGTTTTAGTGACTTTTCCCTCTTTGTGCTCTCGAACCGTCTCCAGAAACACGTCAAACAGAGAAACCAGGTCTGTGGGGCCCGCCATGTGCTCCGGGTGGAACTGCACACTGCACAAAACGAAGAGAAGACCAGAGGAGAGTCAGAGGAGCAGAGGAGCAGATGGAGCAGAGGAGGGTCAGATGGAGGAGGAGAGCAGAGGGTCTGAGGAGCAGAAGGTCGTCAGATGGTCTTCAGCTGGAGGTACCTGAACATGGGCAGCTGGTTGTGGACGATGCCCTCGTTGCTGCGGTCGTTGGCGTTGGTGAAGAGGACGTCCCAGTCGGGGGGGAGGGTCTCGGGGTTGACGGCGAATCCGTGGTTCTGACTCGTGATGAAGCAGCGCTCGGTTCCTTTGTGGACGCACGGCTGGTTATGGCCTCGGTTCCCGTATCTGAGGAGCGACAAGAACCAGAAGAAAAAAAACTTACAGTAGCTCTAGATTTTTATTCATGTTTTAAAACCTGGAGGAGTAAAGTTTAGTTCAGGACTTCAACTTTTTATTGTTTCTTCACTTTAAACACACAAGAAAACTGTAGAAAAGGAGCAGAAAGAAGAACGTCTGATCTCTTCGTTCATGGACAGGACGGACTGAAACTAGATCTGGGTTTGACAGTCACATTCTACAAACAATTTTGCATGATTCATTTCTCTAGTTCAGTTCATTTGATTGGATTGCAGCAGCTTTAACTCATTTCTTAAAGTTAGAACCTCGTCTCACAGACTCTGAAGCTGCTGCAGCCTCAAACCTTCAGCTCTGTTTGTGTTCAGACTCAGAGATAAAACTTTGCTTTGGTTCAGATCGTGTAAACGAGCCTCACTGTCCCCAAACACAGACTCAGGGACACAGAGCAGGTGTCCTCCAGATCATCTCCTCCTCTCTGCGTCGAGGAGTCGAGGAGAAGGACGCGAGTGTAACCACGACCACGACCGTCGTTTGAGTCGTTTATCAGCGGCACAGAAGAGTCCAGGCTGTTGATGGACTTTACACATTTAAATATTTACATATGAATCACAGAACAGGTTTGGATTTAGTCACCTGAGATGTAATTACAATAAATCCCCCCAAAAGTCGTTAACAGGATTATTTAACTAAACAAGAGTAAACGAAAAGATAACCAAAGACCCCGTTTTTCAAAAGATAAACACATAAATCGATAAATCCTCGTCAAGTATTTTGACCTGAGAGAGTTCAGGTCAGGACTTTGTCAGGATTTAGTTCAGTTTGACAATAACGCAGATTTCAGTGGGTTCACAAATTTGTGTAATGTCCATAATCCAACGACCTCAGGGCAAAAGAGGATCAAAAAAAGATCAATCCTGCCAGCTCGACGTCAGAAGAGAATTCATTATTCATTCCAAAAAAAAAAACATGACCACTGAGTTGTAATTTATCTAGAATATGTAAAAAATAACATTTTTTTTAAAAAGTCTTTAAACCTGTAACAGTCACTCAGTTCTGGACTTGTTCAATCATTATCACGGTTATTTTGGTCAAAATTGAAAACACGATCATTCAAACGATTATTTTTTAGTTACACGATGCATTTATTCAGCATTTCTCTCTAAAAAAACACTTTGTTATTGATAATTTACCCAAAATGTTCAAACTGAAAATAAATATCGGCTACAAATCTGAACCTTAGAGCAGTTTGGTGACGTATAAAACATAAAATAAACACACGAAGAAAGAAAATCACAACCACAGCGAGGGGGCGTGGCCTGTGAGGAGGGTGAATCAAATAAAACAAGTCCAGGAGTTAGAACATGACTCTAATCTCAGAGTCTGGTCTGTTCAACTAAATCAAAACTACAAACACTAAAGACCAAACACTGACTTGAGTTTGTAGGTTTTCGCTCCGATGACCAGAGACAGCAGCTGGTGTCCCAGGCAGATCCCAAACACCGGTTTAGTCTGGTTACGATCCGAGTCCTGGTTTAGGGTCAGGACTTTGCGCAGGTTTTGGATGGTGGAGGAGCAGAGCTGAGGGTCTCCGGGGCCGTTACTGATGAAGAGGCCGTCAAAATCTACGTCAGGAAACAAACGAGTCAGACGTGAACAGAAGAAGAGCGAGTCTGACGCTTAAAGCAACACTGAGGTAAAATAATAATGTTATTCTAGTGTATTTTCTGTTTAAAAGTGACTCAGTGGGGCTTTAAACAGTCGAGGGTCTCTGGAGTTTGAGAGGAAGTTTCAGCTCAGACCTTGTGGGTTCAGGGGCGAGTCCCAGGGAACCACCGTGACTCTGGCTCCTCTCTGGGCCAAACATCTGATCTGGTTAAACTTCACTCCACAGTCGACGACGGTGACGCGCAGATCCCCAGATGGATTAAACACACGAGCCTCCTACAGGACGCACAAAAACACACAACAACACACAACAACACACATACAAGTGATTTATTTATGAATTAAATTCTGGAGATGGCACATTTTTTTTAAACTAATTTTTACAATTATACTGGGGTCCTAAAAATGTGACATAATTTCTCAGGACAATCATTTTGTCAGTTCTTGTTAAAATAACCTAAAATTTTCACAAAATGTTTAGAAACAGATGAAGATTTGATTTGTGATGTTTTATTTTTGTTGTGTTTTCAGGCTGAGTCGTTCAGTCTGAAACAGAATCATTTAGTGTGTTGAATCTGCTGCTCACACGTGTCTGATCCTTCAGTCCTGCAGAAGAAGATCCTTCCTCTTTACATTTTTGTTCCAAGTCCAAATTTATTTCCCAGTTGTGGAAGTTTTTCTAAATGTTGTGTTGAAGCTGCAGTTTTCTGTGAGCAACAGATTCAAGACACTTAATGATTCTGTTTGGGAGAGAACGACTCGACCTGAAAACACAACAAAAATAAAACATCACAAATCAAATCTTCATCTGTTTCTGTGAAAATTTATTTCAACAAGAACTGACAAAATGATCGGCCTGTGAAATGACGTCACATTTCTGCGACTCCCTGCATAAAAACTTACAACAATTAAATCCAGATGATTTAAAAGTTATAATTATTGTTTTACGCTCTGTAACAGTGAGTCTCAAACTGATGAGGATGAAGAAAACAGCTGCAGAAGATAAATAAATACAGAACTATTGATATTCGATATATTTATAAATGGTAGTTTGACTCGTCTCCACACGACTCGAGCTCTTAATTTCATAAATGTGGTCGGTCGCGGTCGGTCGCGGTCGGTCGCGGTCGGTCGTACCTTCATGGAGACCTCCTGCACCAGGTTCCTCAGGTCTGGATTGTCGAAGGGGACACTGTCCTCCGTGGTCCCGTCCACCACCAGCTTCCCCAGGAGAGTCCCCTTCTCCCGGATCTTCTTGGTCAGGCAGCGCGTGTCCACCCCTGGACCAGAAACAAACGGAAAAACACTTTAGACTTTATCCAAAGAGTGAAGCTCATTTCTCCTCTAACTCTAAACCCCTCAACACTAACTCTAAACTCTAACTCTAACCCTAACCCCGTACACTTCTAACTCTAAACTCTAACTCTAAACCCTAACCCCCTCAACACTAACTCTAAACTCTAACTCTAAACTCTAAACTCTTTTATAGTTTATCCAAAGAGTGAAGTTCATTTGTCCAGACCAACTCTAACCCCTCTGCACTTTTACAAACCTTTATCTTTTCATTTTTGAATCTGTGCATTTACATATTTCATATTTTGGGACAGAGGTTGGGGCCAGACCTTGTGAGGACTGGACCGACCGTGAGGACCGGACCGACCTCGTGAGGACCGGACCGACCTCGTGAGGACCGGACCGACCTCGTGAGGACCGGACCGACCTCGTGAGGACCGGACCGACCTCGTGAGGACCTCGACTTTGGGACTGACCTTGGATTCCAGGGACTCCATGTTCTTTGAGCCATTGGTCCAGGGATCGGTCCGAGCTCCAGTGACTCGGTTCCTCCGACAGCTCCCCGATGATCAGAGCCGAGGCGTGAATACGAGAAGATTCAAACCACTGACGGACGGAGGAGAGAACAGACAGAGAGAACAGACGGAGGAGAGAACAGACGGAGAGAACAGAGGAGGAGAGAACAGACGGAGGAGAGAAGAGAACAGAGGAGGAGAGAACAGAGGAGGAACAGAGAGGAGAAGAACAGAGGAGAGAACAGAGGAGAGAGAACAGAGGAGGAGAGAACAGAGGAGGAGAGAACAGGAGGAGAGAACAGAGAGGGAGAGAACAGAGGAGGAGAGAACAGGAGGAGAGAACAGAGGAGGAGAGAACAGGAGAGAGAACAGAGGAGGAGAGAACAGAGGAGGAGAGAACAGAGGAGGAGAGAACAGGAGGAGAGAACAGGAGGAGAGAACAGAGGAGGAGAGAACAGGAGGAGAGAACAGGAGGAGAGAGAACAGAGGAGGAGAGAACAGAGGAGGAGAGAACAGGAGGAGGAGAGACAGAGGAGGAGAGAACAGAGGAGGAGAGGAGAGAACAGAGGAGGAGAGAACAGAGGAGGAGAGAACAGAGGAGGAGAGAACAGACAGGAGGAGAGAGACAGACGGAGGAGAGACAGAGAGGAGAGAACAGAGGAGGAGAGAACAGACGGAGGAGAGAACAGACAGAGGAGGAGAGAACAGAGGAGGAGAGAACAGAGGAGGAGAGAACAGACGGGAGAGAACAGAGGAGGAGAGAACAGAGGAGGAGAGAACAGAGGAGGAGAGAACAGGAGGAGAGAACAGAGGAGGAGAGAACAGACAGAGGAGGAGAGAACAGAGGAGGAGAGAACAGAGGAGGAGAGAACAGAGGAGGAGAGAACAGGTTTCATGTTGAGGATTTCTTACCAAAACTTGATGTTTAAGTTTAGTTTTTCTCTGAACTTTCGATTCTTTGACTTTTGTACCTCGCTGAGGCCGAAGTCGCCCTCGCCGTCTTTGGGGACGCCGTAGTTTCCGATCAGAGGATAAGTGAGCGTCAGCAGCTGCCCACGATACGACGGGTCTGTGAGCGCCTCAGGGTAACCGACCATCCCCGTCTGGAACACTGACACACAGAACCACAGACGGAACAAGAACGAGAACGAGAACGGAAGAGAAGAGAGACGGAGCGAGGGGGCAGAGAAAGAGAGAGAAAGAGGAAGAAAGAGGGAGGGAGGAGAGAGAACAAGAGAGGAGAAAGAAAGCAAGCGATAGGAGAGAGAGAAGAGAGAAAGAGAAACAGATGAGGTCATAGGTGGGACAGAAGAGAAAAAGAAGCGAGGGAGGAGAAGAGAGGAGAGGAGAGGGATGAAGAGAGAAACAGAAAGCAGAGAGAAGGAGAGAGAGAGAAGGAGGGATAAAGAAGAGCAGGGGGGAGGGGGTTAGAGGTTAAACACATTTTTAGAAACAATTTAAAATTTCACCCTTTGACCTTTGACCTCTGACCTCCAATAAACAAACACAAAACTGTTTATAAAACTGAACTTTAAACAGGTTCTAATGTTCTAAATGTTCTAAATGTTCTAAATGTTCTAATGTTCTAAATGTTCTAATGTTCTAAATGTTCTAAATGTTCTAATGTTCTAAATGTTCTAAATGTTCTAATGTTCTAAATGTTCTAATGTTCTAAATGTTCTAATGTTCTAAATGTTCTAATGTTCTAAATGTTCTATTGTTCTAAATGTTCTAATGTTCTAAATGTTCTATTGTTCTAAATGTTCTAATGTTCTAAATGTTCTAATATTCTAAATGTTCTAATATTCTAAATGTTCTATTGTTCTAATATTCTAAATGTTCTAAATGTTCTATTGTTCTAAATGTTCTAAATGTTCTAAATGTTCTAATGTTCTATTGTTCTAAATGTTCTAATGTTCTAAATGTTCTAAATGTTCTATATATTCTAATGTTCTATTGTTCTAAATGTTCTAATGTTCTAAATGTTCTAATATTCTAAATGTTCTAATGTTCTAAAATTCTAAATGTTCTGTTGTTCTAAATGTTCTATTGTTCTAAATGTTCTATTGTTCTAAATGTTCTAAATGTTCTACTGTTCTAAATGTTCTAATGTTCTAAAATGTTCTAATGTTCTAAAATTCTAAATGTTCTATTGTTCTAAAATGTTCTATTGTTCTATTGTTCCGTCCTGGAAAACAGAGTTGTTCCTTGTGTTTGTTTGTTTATTCTGAGTCTGTCACATCTACAAAGCTTCAGACGTTCTGTTCCACCCTGTGATGTCATCAGGTGGAACAGTTTGTTCTTTTCAGTTTGAGTTAAATGTGCAGGTTTGTGAGCAGACGATTCTGTGACATGGATCTTTTAAAGCTCCAGTGTGTAACTTTTCCTCCCGTCTGTTTCCATGGAGACAGAGGGTGTAGTTTTGACAGGGGCGCCCCTGACGCGGCGCAGACTCAGAGCCGCGGGTCATTTCAGGGAAAGTGTGTGTGTTTAGAAACAAGAGAAAGAACAGAACAGAACAGAACAGAACAGAACGTCACGTTCACTTCCTCTGGAGTTAATCACCACTGGACCAGGGCCAAACGTGACGCCGCCGCACCAGATCTGACTCATAACAACTGACAAACTACTGCTGCTCTTACTACAACAACAACACCGCGCACCAGATCTGACTCGTACAAACTCTGCCCCACAAAACAAACACTGAACTGAACTTTATTGATCCACAGAAACAAACAGAACAGAGTCACAAAAAAACAGAAAATATGAACAAGAAAAGAAAAACAAGAAAACAAACAAAAACACTCATCATAAAATATAAAGAAGAAAAAAAAAGCAGGAGACAAAATGAAATAAATATAAATGTACAAGTTTAAATAACTGAAAAATAAGAAAATATTAAATCTCAGCTTTTCACAAGAGGAAAATACTACAACTATAATTATAACTACTACAAATACTACTACAACTGCAAATACTACTACTATAAATACTATAAATACTACAACAACAAGAAATACTACTACCACTACTACTACTACTACAATACTACTACAACTACTACTACTACTACTACACTGCAAATACTACTACCACTACTACTACAAATACAAATACTACTACAACTATGAATACTACAACTATGAATACTACTCCTACAACTACTACAACTACTACAACTACTACAACTACTACAACTACTACAACTACTCCTCCTGCTCCTCGCTCTCCTCTCAGCAGATCTGACTCGTAAAGCTCCGGGGTGAGGGGCAGAGGTGTGGGGGGGGTGTGTGTGTGTGTGTGTTTCTGTGTGTGTGTGTGTGTGTGTGTGTGTGTGTGTGTGTGTGTGGGGGTGGGGGCCGGGGAAGGGGCTCCTCCGGTGGAATGTGGGTCACTGCAGGTCACCGCACCCCCCCCCCCCCCCCCCACGCGCGCGCACAGGTCACACTCAGGTAGAGTCTGCGTGAGCGCGTGAGAGAGAGAATGAAGAGTGTTGAATGTGGAGTTCGTGGTGAGTTCGGTGCGTGTGGAGTTCGGTGCGTGTGAGTTCGGTGCGTGTGGAGTTCGGCGCGTGCTCGTTCCACTCACCCACTTCTCCAGACACGGACACGCGCGCTCCGAAGAGGCGCCCGCGGAACGTGCTCCCGTCCTCGAGGATGAGCGTGGCCATGTCCCCACGCGCCACACACACTGAGCCCCGCAGAGTCACGCACCCGGCGAATCACGCACCGGTCAAACACGCACAAAGCGGCTCACGCACGGTCCCACGCGGATGTGGAGGTGCGCGTGCGTGAAGCGGAAGTGAAACGCGTCAGATTTCGTTGTAAAAATGCGGTTTTGTGTTTTTTGTGGCGCGGGTCTCGCGGAGCGGAGGGAAAACGGTTGTTCCACGCGCCGCCAGCAGCGTGGAAGTCTGCCACCCGCGTGGACCGTCACGCACGTCCCTGCGCGCACCCACACTTCCGGCCACAGATTTCAGAATAAAAGAAACACGCGCGGTTTTTGAGGGTCACGCGTGGAAATAAAAGTTTCTTGAGTTACAATTTATTCATGACAGAACGAGATAAACGTGAGATACATTTGTTGTGTTGGTTTAAAACTGTTATTTTAAAATATTTATTCTTCTTCAGACTTTATTGTTGCGTAAATCCGCGTGTGTCGCGTGTTTCCGGGTACGTGAGGTCACTTGACGAACGTACGTGACCACAGTGAAATACGTCATGACGTAGTGAACCTGCGCTCCCGGCGTTTATTCAGGGACAAACGATTAAAAGGTAAAAAGTCAAACTTCTGTCAAACCCTGTGGATAAAAACATCACGCACGTGTTTGTTTGTTTGTTCAGTTTCACGATTCAGGACAAAGTTTAAATCAGGAGAAGTTCATGAAAAAGAATCAATTCACAGAGATGAATTTTAGAGATTTTAAATAAATCCGTCAGTTTCAGTTTCAGAGGAAAGTTCGAGCTGAAGAAGAAAAACACCGAGCTACAGATTTAAACACCACAATGTAAACATGAATATTTATCGGATAAGATAAGATAAGATTTGCCTTTATTAGTCCCACAGTGGGGAAATTCCAGTGTTGCAACGCACTATTACAGAACAGCAGGAAAAGGTAACACAGATAATAAATAATAGCTTAAAAATAATTTAAAAATAGACTTAAAAATAATTGCACATGGATATGATTGACTGGCACATGTTCAGTGTGAACAGTGTTTGTTGTAAAGTCTGACAGCAGCAGGAAGGAAAAACCTGTGAAACCTTCACACAGCGAGAGTGAATCAGTCTCACTGAAGCTGCTCCAGAGCAGAGAGCCTCCTGCAGGGACAGAGCCTCCTGCGGGGGACAGAGCCTCCTGCGGGGACAGATCCTCCTGCGGGGGACAGAGCCTCCTGCAGGGACAGATCCTCCTGCGGGGGCAGAGCCTCCTGCGGGGGACAGATCCTCCTGCGGGGACAGAGCCTCCTGCGGGGGACAGAGCCTCCTGCGGGGACAGATCCTCCTGCGGGGGACAGAGCCTCCTGCGGGGACAGATCCTCCTGCGGGGACAGAGCCTCCTGCGGGGACAGAGCCTCCTGCGGGGACAGAGCCTCCTGCGGGGACAGAGCCTCCTGCGGGGGACAGAGCCTCCTGCGGGGACAGAGCCTCCTGCGGGGACAGAGCCTCCTGCGGGGACAGATCCTCCTGCGGGGACAGAGCCTCCTGCGGGGACAGAGCCTCCTGCGGGGGACAGAGCCTCCTGCGGGGACAGAGCCTCCTGCGGGGACAGAGCTCCTGCGGGGACAGACAGAGCCTCCTGCGGGGACAGAGCCTCCTGCGGGGACAGAGCCTCCTGCGGGGGACAGAGCCTCCTGCGGGGGACAGATCCTCCTGCGGGGGACAGAGCCTCCTGCGGGGACAGATCCTCCTGCGGGGGACAGAGCCTCCTGCGGGGACAGAGCCTCCTGCGGGGGACAGAGCCTCCTGCGGGGGACAGATCCTCCTGCGGGGGACAGAGCCTCCTGCGGGGGACAGAGCCTCCTGCGGGGACAGAGCCTCCTGCGGGGACAGAGCCTCCTGCGGGGACAGAGCCTCCTGCGGGGACAGAGCCTCCTGGGGACAGAGCCTCCTGCGGGGACAGAGCCTCCTGCGGGGGACAGATCCTCCTGCGGGGGACAGATCCTCCTGCGGGGGACAGAGCCTCCTGCGGGGACAGAGCCTCCTGCGGGGGACAGAGCCTCCTGCGGGGGACAGAGCCTCCTGCGGGGGACAGAGCCTCCTGCGGGGGACAGAGCCTCCTGCAGGGACAGAGCCTCCTGCAGGGACAGAGCCTCCTGCGGGGGACAGAGCCTCCTGCAGGGACCTTAGTCAGGACCCTCCTGTCCCCCACCTCCTGCACTGAGTCCAGACAACAGCCCAGGACAGAGCTGGACTTCTTGATGACCTTGTCCAGCTTCTTCTTCTCCCTCTCTGTGATGCTGCTGCTCCAGCAGACCACACCGTACAGGATGGCTGATGCCACCACAGAGTCATAAAAGGTCTTCAGGAGTGGCCCCCCCACTCCAAAAGACCTGAGTCTCCTCAGGAGATAGAGCTCTGGCCCTTCCTGTACAGTGCATCTGTGTTGTGAGTCCAGTCCAGTTTATTGTTCAGATGAACACCCAGGTACTTATATGAGTCCACTGTCTCAATGTCCCTTCCCTGGATGTTCACTGAGGGGGCAGTAGAGTGACGTCTGCAGAAGTCCACCACCATCTCCTTGGTCTTCCCTGCATTGATGATGAGGTGGTTCTGCTGACACCAGTCCACAAAGTCCTGTATTAGTCCTCTGTTCTCCACATCATTATCATCCTTGATGAAGCCAATGATGGCAGAGTCATCAGAGAACTTCTGCAGGACGCAGCTGTCCGTGTTGTGTCTGAAGTCTGCAGTGTGGAGGGTGAAAAGAAAGGGCGCGAGGACAGTGCCCTGGGGCGCCCCCACACTGCCAGTCAGGAGGTCAGACACGCAGTTCTTGGATCTCACAAACTGGGGCCGGTTTGTGAGGTAGTCCAGAGTCCAGTCTGCCAGGTCACAGTCCACACCTTCAGTCTCCAGCTTGTCCCTCAGGAGCAGTGGCTGGATGGTGTTGAAAGCACTGGACAAATCAAAGAAAAGAATCCTGACAGTGCTGCCGGGGTTCTCCAGGTGAGACAGTGAGCGGTGCAGCAGGTAGATGACGCGTCCTCCACTCCGATTCCAGGCCGGTACACAACCTGCAGCGGGTCCATCGCTGAGCTCACGGTGCAGTGGAGGTGGCCAAGGACCAGTGTCTCCAGTGTCTTCATCAGATGGGAGGTTAGAGCCACTGACCTGAAGCTGCTGAGGTCTTCAGTGTGCGGCGTCTTAGGCACTGGTACCACACAAGAGGTCTTCCAGAGTCACGGTACCATAGATAATACTCCCTACAACTGTACAACCCACCCTCATGTCACAGATAATACTCCCTACAACTGTACAACCCACCCTCATGTCACAAATAATACTCCCTACAATGTCCTGTCAATCATATCCTTGTTACTCTGTCTTCCTGTGTCCTCTTGTATTTAGCTATGATTTTATATTTTATTTCTTTTTATTTTTTTTTATTTTGACTTTTACATTTATATAATTCTGTTTTATTTCATGTGCCTCTTGTTTTTTTCTGCAACTTTTTTTTTTTATTATCACATTTATATTATTAGTTTTATTATATTTTATTGTGACTGTGAACAAATCGGTTCCTGTGGATCAATAAAGTTTGAGTCTAAAATTGAACAGAATTTCCTCATGAAAAATGCAAAAACAAAAACATTCAGATTCTTTTCTAAACCAAAACTCTTTGGATCTTTTGTTTTTTTGAGTCTCTCAGGTCAAACATCAGGAGCTGGTGAGTCGAGTCGCTCAGGCGTCCGAGGAGAAACGAACGAAACATCCAAACGAGAAACATTCAGGTGGAAAATGTTTCTCTGACACTTTTACTCTGAAACAAACGGTTCATCTGATCTGAGTCTGGAGGAACAT